TCTCAAATGTATCTCTTGAAAGTTGTGTAGGTTTTGAATTAGTAGATTTCGAAGATAAAGTCAAATTTCAATATGATAATTTTTATTTTATTTTAATATTTTATTTTAAAAATATATATTTATTTAAAATATCAAATATACTAAAAAATATATAAATTTTAAAAAATAGTTTTTAAGTCCGTGAATCATGTGAGCTGAACCTAATGAGATGAACCTAACAAGTTGAACCGAACTGTTCGTGAACTTATAACGAGTTAAGTTTGAGCTTAAAAAAAAAGTTCGTATCAAACTCGAACAATTTTTAACGAGTCAAGTCGAGCTGAGGTGAGTTCAACTCGACTCATTTTCAACCCTAATTCCAAATTATGAATACTATAATTATTACAACTCGATTTAACTTAATTGTGAAACAGATAATATCTTTAGACATAGTGTATTGTCTATTCTCAATTTAGAGAATTAACTAATAATTGTTGCGTAGAAATTAGAACATGTAAATATGAATCTTATAAATATTTTCCTCTACACATCTTACATTGGAGCTGGAGTTGCTCTATATTCTATTTTGGTCACTGTCTGTTACTCTATGAATCCAAGATTCAAGCCGAGTTGAAATGCAAGATACTTTAGAAACAAAAAAATTTGTTGTTGTAAAATCAAAGAAAACAATACACATTTGGGGCAACTAAAGATATTAAATGTGAAGGGTACCTGGTTGTTGCTTCTTTAAATTTGAAAGAACAACGAACAAAAGCATATCTTTAATTGGACACAATTGAGATACACCATCCAAAACACATATTCTGATTTTCCACTCGATTTGTAAGTTTCACTATCACATGAATGAAATATAATATATAAAACATGTTTATACATAGAAGGTATATATTGTTTTATAAATCAGTATGTATTAGAGTATATTCAATGTCCATTGGATCATTCACGATCATTCGGATCAAGTTCCATCGACCAAATCCTAGATGTAAGTTGATATATTGAAAGTATCACATCAAATGAAATGTGACTTTAAAACGCGTTTATATAAAAACACAAATTTAAAATAGTCCTAACATACATTTCTCTTGATGCTGCTACATACCTATGAAGCATAGGTATTTTTAAAATAGTAAAATACAGGTACGAGTCCTCATCCGTACCCGGTACTCGTGTACTTTTTATTATTCACTTTTAAACGAAATTTATGATTTTTTTCAAATATTTATATAGCAGATTATGTGTTTTAATTTTTTTATTGTATCTTAACATTATTTTTTTGTTTTTTCAATTTTTTATAGTGAAGTTTTTTTATGAACCTAATGTTGGATTTCAGAATAATATGAAATAATAATAACACAACTAAAATATGAGAAAAGAGTATAGGAATGAGAAGAAATAATTAATTCAAACTCTTAAATGATTATGGGATGATACAAAATATTTTGCTCCTTCCAAGAACATTTGCGGTGACTCCCACACATCAGAATAAATTAAGTCAAATATGTGTTTGCTCTTAGTAGTTGATCTATCAAACTTCAACCTATGTTGTTTGCTTACCACACAATGCTCACAAAATGGTAAACTTACTGATTTGAGCCCAGGTAAGAGATCATGGTCCGCAAGAATTTTCAAGCCTCGTTCTAACGTATGGCCTAGTTTGCGATGTCACATTGTTGTTGAGTTTTCTTGACTAGTTGATGCAAGTGACATATCACCCTCTTGAAAGGTCTCTCCCATAAGAATATATAGATTTGCATATAATTTTTTTTGCCTTCATCACTACTAGAGCACCTCTCACCACCTTCAAGATCCCACCTTCAATACGGGTCTTACACTCGAGGTCATCTAATTATCCAATAGACAATAAATTCTTCTTCAACCCTTTCACATGTCATCCCTTTTGAATTGTGCGAATTGTACCATCATACATTTTTATTTTGACAGTACCGACACCAGCAACTTCTAAGGCGTAATCATTTCCCATGAACACTGATCCTTCTGAGATAGGTTGATAAGTGTAAAACCAATCTCGTCAAGGAGTCGTGTGTCATGTTGCTCCTGAATCAATTATCCAAACGCTAGTGAGCTGTTTACTACCCTTGGAACCAGGTGTTGCTCCGCTATATAGAATCTCTCCATCATTAGAGATATTGACAATACATCCTTGAGATGAGCTTGCCTCAGAAGACTTCTCACCATTCTACTTAAACCAACAATCTCTTTTCAAGTGTCCTTTCTTGTCACAATTGTAACATCTCACATTCATCTTACTTCGAGATTTTGATCTACCATGATTTTGGCTCCCACTAGGGCCACGTTCCACTTATCTGCCTCTCGTCATTGTCAAAGCTTCTACTTGTTTTGAATTTTCTTGACGGTCTTCCTTATTTATACGCCTGGACTCTTCCTTAAGAATAGCTCCGGCAACATCATCAAAGTATAGATGGTCTGTAACATTATTATTTGTTAAGTTAACGACAAGTGGATCATATGAATCTGGTAAGCTCTGAAGTGGAAGTTCTGCACATTCACTTTCTACTATGCTAAAATTTGCCGATGTAAGTTGAGCAAACATTGTATTTAGAGTGTTGATGTGATTTGTCACAGATGTAGATTCACTCATTCGAAGAGTGTAGAGTCTTCTCTTTAAGAAAATGCGGTTGTGCAGTGACTTGACCTCGTACAATTTGATGAGAACATCTCATATCTCCTTTGCAGTTTTCTTTTCGGCAACGCTAGACAAAACTGAATCCGCCAATGCTAAGTGCAAATTGGCAACAGCGTTGCTATCCATCTCATTCCACTTCTCGTCGGATATTCCCTCGGTTCTATCTTCAATTGCTGCTAAACAATTATCCTTCCTCAGGATTGTCTTTATCTTCAATTTCCACAGGGAGAAATTACTCCCATTGAACTTCTCAATCTCAAATTTTGCCGTCATGTTAATTTCAATTGAACCGGCTTGCACAATTTCACCATGAATAACAAAGTATACGTGGACAGTATTGTATATATTTTACCGCACACTGGAACAAATCTGGTATACGTTAACAATCACTGTAAAAGTATACAATAACACGTATGAATAGTAACCGTGAACAATATTCGCAACGGAATATGGACCAACACCAAATGCTCTGATACCACTATTGGATATCAGAATAATATGAAATAATAATAACACAACTAAAATATGAGAAAAGAGTATAGGAATGAGAAGAAATAATTAATTCAAACTCTTAAATGATTATGGGATGATTGTAAAACTACATTATGAACTCTTTATTCATAAGAGTCTCATATACTATAATAAGTAATTAAATATTTAGTGAATTTTACGAAAAATTCTCTTCATCTTAGAAAGCAATGATTCTTATTACATTGACATTTTCTTTCTACCAAAACAAATATGACTTTATGTCTTCACACATAACACTTCAATTCACTATTCGTACATTTTATAAAAAATTCATATTTCTTATTAACATATTTGTAACTTGATATTTTTAAAAATGTCGTATCATGTACCGGTACTAGTATCCGCACCTGATACCGTAATTTGATATTTTTAAAAATGTCATATCATGTACCAGTACTAGTACCCGCACCTGATACCGTAACTTGATATTTTTAAAAATACCGTATCATGTACCGATATGTACCGATAATACCCGCACCTGATACCGTAACTTGATATTTTTAAAAATACCGTATCATGTACCGATATGTACCGATACCAGTATCCGCACCTGGTACTGTACCCGTACCTGCTTGCTCTACACAACTAACACTGATATACATGGTTGCACTAATACTTGCATAAACATTTGCAGTTCTCATCACAAAATAAACTTGCAAAGGTTGTTTTTGCTTTTCATGTAATGTTTGTAATTCAACTTTGCGACATAAGAAGTCTAGGGAAAATTGCTTGGTTGGTCCAGTGAAAAAATTGGAATCAAATTGTTCAAATTTGACAATTCAAACAAAAGTGAAATTTTGCTTGGTTGGTCACTACAAAGCATGGACATCTCAAACAAGACTTCTGTATTAATTTGAAAATATGAATAAATCAAATGTAATCACAAGTGTCGATGTAGATGTTTGACCCCGACACGGACACGCCATTTTTCAGAGATGTCTGTGCTACATAGATTGGTCTTCATCTTCTGTTTCAATAGCCTTTCCCTCATCTCTGCCAAGAAGATCTAACATGCATGCGGTTCTCTGTGGAGTTTCATAGTAGAACCATTCTTGATCTTTTACATGTAGGCTATATGGGTTAGTAGTGTCTGTGCGTGCTCATAGTTGTATTCCCATTATTGCTTGGTTATGGCGAACCTATATACATAGGTTTTTGGTGGGAAGGGATGAACGGTGTTTTGACTTATCTTTTTGACAAAAACAAGTAGACACTATCCAGCTGGAATTACTTATAGGGGTCTACTAGCAAAGATGCATGACGAAATTAAAAAGATTAACAGAAGCAGATCGTGCAATAACAGCATCTTGCACCATATCTTTCACAGTAAAATTATTGCACAGGTTGGATTCCATCACTACATATTTATTTGTTAATGTTTTCTTTAGCTTGTGCTATAATGACTATACTTCCTTTGAACTCATATATAAGTAAAAGTAACCTAATGCATATTGCTGGATCCTCTTTTATCATCATCTTAAAATTTTGATGTTTCTACAACAATATTCACAATGTGGCCATGAGGATACAAGTTATATATTTGCAATTTGCAAGTTCATGCATATCTTTGATTTTTACATTTTTTTTCTTTACAATAATTGTCTAAAGACAAAAAAACAAATAAGTCAAGATATTCACTCTCCACTAGCTAAAGTCATCAGAATCCTATTCTTCATCTGACTCGCCAACAAAACAGAGTTAGCTGAAGTTTATGTACACTTTACGTAAACTGTTCCTTATCATTTTTGCATTCATTGCTTCTACCATTCATCATATCTTCTAACAAGAAAAGCAAAATATTACAATGGCAAGTAAACAACAAAGGTGCAACCATTGTGGAATACTACTATTTATTCCACTAGAGGTCCAAGCCTTTAAATGTTCAATGTGCAATGGCATCACACATGTTCAATCCACAGGTCCCATGAATCAAGCCTACAACTCTCTTAATCATATTGCAGGTCTTTTTAGAGGCTTCATGAATACTATAACAACTAGTTCAGCAATTAACAGCAATTCAGGTAATTATGGAACAAATCATTTTGGGTACTATCTTCTGCCTCAGCCACAAAGGCCTTCATACCCTTTGAATCCTCCTTCTCCATATGGCTCAAAAAGGGCAGTTCTGTGTGGAATCTGCTACCATGGGAGGAGTTACAGGCTTAAGGGCTCCATCAATGATGTAAAGTATATGAAATACTTTCTGATTAAGGAGTTTGGGTTTCCAAGTGACTCCATTCTCATGCTCACAGGTCCTAACACCTTTCTCATACTTTATAAGAACATTGTGTTCTCTTTGTCTGTGTTTCTTATGAACCAGGTTTCTGATCTATCAGTGCTATCTATATATAAGCAATGTAAATCTCTTTATTCTAGATATGAACATTGAGAACTTACCTGCAGATGATAAGGAGGAGAGAAATCCACTGAAAATCCCAACAAAATATAACATTCAAATGGCTTTAAGGTGGCTGATTGAGGGTAGCAAATCAGGGGATTCACTGGTGTTCCATTACTCAGGACATGGCACACAGGAAGTCAACATGAATGAGATTGATCATAGCTATAGGTATAATAATGCAATTAGTCCTGTTGATCATGAGCTCAGGGGGAAGATACTGAATGATGAGATTAATGGAACAATTGTTAGACCACTACCATTTGGTGCTAAACTTCATGCCATTATTGATGCATGTCACAGTGGGAATGTTCTTGATTTATCATTTGTGTGCAAGATGAACAGGTCAGTTTAGGAATAATGATTACTTAGTGAGTGTTGAGTGTTTTTACTCTTTTCTTGTGAACTGAGTTTGTATTAACAGGGAAGGGTATTATACATGGGAGGATCATAGAAGTTCAATAAATTATAAAGACACAAAAGGAGGGGTAGCAATTTGTATTTCAGCTTGTGAAGATGGTCAAGTCTCTGTAGATACCTCTGTTAGTAATCATTTTTCCCTTTCTATATCTTTTTTCTTCTTGTTTTAGGATATGTTTGGATTGCTGTTATAATAAATGAAACAGCAATCCAAACACGGAGAAAGAGATTGATGAATTTATTTATATTGTTTGGTATAGATAGGCCTTAAGTGGCAAAGAAGTTACAGGTGCCTTGACTTATAGTTTCATACAAACAGTGCAAAATGAACCTGGGTTGACTTATGGTCACATGCTTAGTACCATGCGCTCTACCATTCATGGGACTAAAACAGGCATAGTTACTTTAAATGGACCAATTGCTTCACTCTTAAATAGACTTCTTGGCCTACGCATCAAACAGGTATTATTCATACTCTCACACACTCGTAAGTTGCATATGATAGAATACTATTTTTACTATTAAATATGAAGTTGATGCTACAAAATTGTTTGTAACTGGATTTGCAGGAGGCACAATTATCATCCTCCGAGTTGTTTGACATGTATAAGAAGCAGTTTATACTATGATATGGTATATTCTTATCACAAAATAATGAAGCAGTGGAGATTCTTGAATGCCATTTTAGGTTGTAATATCTCTTGATAATGCAGTATGTTTCTTTATAATTTGTATTTGATTATCAATTCTATATTTCAAGCATGCTCTGTTGCTCTGAAGTAAAATTAGAAAATGGTACAGATATTCCAATTCCAATTCTAGAAAAATGTTCTCTATTGCAACAAATTCTTATTCTTACTATATGCAACATTTAAAGCAAATATGATGAGACGTAAAATGTACAGGGGCGATTAGGCCAATCTTATATATGCAGGTGCAAAATTATTAGCATAATCCAATAGGGTTGAATAATATTTCTTACAGGATATATGCACAAAATGAGAACAGTGTGGCACCTCATCAACAGAGGTTTATCTTTCCTTTCCTTTTAAAATGCCTTTACTTTGAAGGTAATCGGTGTAAGAAAAGAACTATAGTCACATTTTCTTCCACATCAACAGCTATTGATTTTCTCTAGGAGGGAGGGAGGTCAGAAGAGAAAAAACACACTCAACTCATAAATTTTTTGACTCTGCGCTCAGCAAAGCTTGCATCCTTGTTCTGTGGTTCAAGAACAAGTGCGTGCTTAAAATCTGCAAACATAAGAAAAAGAGAGAAAAAGGAACTTCATTAAGGATAAATTATCCAATACTTAGACAGTTGTGTTTGTGCCTCGACCAACCATTTTTCACTACATTGCAGGAACTAAAAATATTTAAGCTTATACACAAAAATAAAACTAGCAGAAACCAAATACATTTACATAAAACTTAATGCTTACCTTCAAGAGCCTCCTTATACCGTTTCAGTGATTCTCTAGCAGTTCCACGTCTCAGATATGCCTTCACATTCTGCATGGAAATTACACACTATTTTTAGTACCGCAGATTAGATGGTAGATAAATAGATTCAGCTTGTATCCTAATCTAAATAAGCCCTACAGAGTAAAGGAATCTATATATTAAACATCATCAAATCAATCAACAAGGTACACAAATAATAATCAAATCCTATCAGGTAAGGTGGTGCATACAGCACTTGTAACACCTCCAAACATGAAGATTTCATTTATAGAAACGGTTGTTATTGAGTGTAAAAGATAATAATTAGGCATTAAATATGATAACAGAAAATAAATGTTCCATAGCCACTGTCATATGCCCATCTTCTCACCTTCTTATCAAGCAATATTGCCTTACTGCAGTCTTCTTCTGCTAGCTGAAAGCTGCATAAGTTAACAGGTGAGAAGAACAATCACAGGGAAATGGTTAAAGTGTGAGGGCACTTGTTGACAGACACGAAAAACCTCATACCATCCTAGCTTTAACAAAGCAGCTGCTCGGTTGCAGTAGAAAGTTGCATTCGTCCCATTCAATTCGATAGCTTCAGTATAATAAGAGACTGCCTTATCCCATTGCTTTTCTTTAAATGCTGCATTTCCCTGCAAAGCATTTTTTTAATAGCTTAAATTAAATTATCCAAACCCAGTTTATGACTTACAGCACGCTAGATCAAGAAATAAATACTAAATCATGCCAAGACAGTTTTTGGGTTACTCATTGATAAAATTTGAACAACAATTAATCAGGAACTGTTTCATGAATAATTACCATAGATTTCCATATAAAATTGCATCATCGCTCATCCGCCATATTTTTAAAATTGGATAAAAGGAGAAAGAGACTGGCATAAGGGGATAAATCCAAGTGTACTTTGAATGGGCATCAACAAAGGTTAGATAAAATTGAAATCCGCATGACAATTCCACCGGGTCTGGTCCCTATAGATTACTAACAAGGAATTGAAATGGTTCATTATAAATAGTTGAAGAAAAAATAGATGGAAGATAAGGGGCTTTCTTCAAGAAAGTAGCGTTAATTTTATTAGATACTCGCAAATTACATTCGGATAAAACTTGTCCCGTCGTCTCAAAGGGAGGTCCCAGTCTACAATGTCATGTAGCGAACAAAGGGAGTGGAAACCACAATATATGAAGCACAAGTATTGCAAGTACAACAGTGGAATTCGTATTAGTATTTGCAAGATGAATACTTTGTACAAGTGAAGATGCTGAAATAAACTTATATGCATGTTAAATTGAATTTACAGTTTAAAATAAATTGAACCATTAAATATTTGAAGTACACAAAGCAGCCATCACCAATAGTATAGTTAAGTCTTGAATTTAGCATAACCAATGTAGGATGCAAGTGGTCCAACAATGTAGTTTTGACTTTTATGTTATATTTTGTTTAATAGTATTTAATATATATTATATTAAAAGTTAGAATATATTTTGTTTAATACTATTTAATTATCACCAATTCGACCGGGGTTGAACCCCGAATGAGTATTTAAAACGGTACCAACACAGATTCAATGACTGGTCCTGTTTTCCAAACATTGGTTTTACACCAGATGACTGAACTGACAAACTTAGAAGAAATAATATCCTGCTGAAAAATGTTCAGAGAAAACTAACCTTCTCCTTTAAAAGTTCAGAAGGTTCCCTATTTCCATTGATATTTGGTAATGGAATGGAATGGAAACCAGAGCTAGCTTGCTCTTGAAGAGTTGCATACATATCCAAGATCGTGTCTAGAAGAAATTTGTCAGCTCCATGTGCTGAGATGAATGAAACCGAAATACAACAATCATCATGATTTCCTAACGGAATCGTAACCTGGAAACAATGTAAGAGCAATACATAAGCCAAAAAAAGTTTGAGCAATAAATAAAAATTGAGAAAAGAAAATAATATTACTCTATGTCTAGAACTAAAAGGATAACAAATTACCTGACAACATCCAGACATACTAGCAATGCTGGATAATGCGAAAGTTCTATCATGGAACTCAGAACAAACACTCTTCTTTGCATTGAGCTTTAGTGGATTGTCTGCCACAGAGGGAATAACTAGTATTCCACCATCCTGTTGGACAATCAAAACCAACAGATAGTAGGGCAGCATGGATACATAGACTAGACTTTTTAAATTATTTTGGCCACTTCATTTTGAGAATCAACGATCTAGGTTATCTTGCAAAATATACATGCATTGAAGACAATCCTATTGTGCACAGGTGAGATAAGTCTTGCATCATGCGCAAATTTGTTTGCACTATTGGATCAAATGAGATATGATGGGACTAATTATCCAATGGTAAAAAAAAACACTTATGCATGGTTCAAGACTATTTTACTTGTACACATTTGGGCAAAGCCATTTATTGAAACTCCCTATCAAGACAATCCAAAAGTTTACAAAAAAATATTGTCATACTAGGCTACTGGCTTGTCTATTTTTCAGTTTTCTTCTAATCTAATTTATAACTTAGAAAGGGTTTCTTACCATAAAATAATCTGTATAAGTAAGGATGGTACGAAACGAACAGAGAAGTACCTTTAACAGGCTTTGAAGTGCACCACGCATCTCAGTCCTGACTTTATACAAGGCTTTTATATTATCGTGTGTAGAACTAATGGCTTTAAGAACATTATTAGGCATGCCACTGCTAAACCTAGGCTTGACTGATTTAACCCATTCTTCATAATTGGCTTTAAATTCATACCTGAACAGATGAAACACATTCGTCACATACTTAAATGGCTGCCGACATAAAACAATGATGCAACATATTCTATCAAACTAAATAACTACACAAACAAGAAATTCCGACACACTGTATGGCATGAAACTTTTTTTCCCGAAAAATTAGATGAAATCTTTTCCACTTAATTCCTTACACATGCACCTTCATCCTCACTGCCATATAATTTTTCTACTATCAAAATGACAACTATTTCAACATACAGAACAAAGTTATCTATTACTACCTCCGTCCCTAACTATAAGACCCTCTTGAGTTTTTTTATTGTCCCTTATTATAAGACCCTCTTCAACTTTCAAAGTGCATTAATTATTTTTTTACAATATACCCCTAATTATAATCTTACCAACTTTCTTAATTAGCGTAATTTAGTCTATGGGGTCTTATATTTAGGGATAGAGGTAGTATAGCAAATCAAATGATATTGTTAATTAAAACTGAATATTATACTTCAGTATGAATAGTATACGGGCACTAATCTCTTTATATAGAGTATTCTAACCTCATTGGGTTTGACTAAAGGTTCAAACATAAATTACTACTAACAGCACTAAAAATAACAATTGTAAAATATAAATTATTTACAACAGATATAACTTTATGTTATAACATTAAATCGATACCTTTGTAATGAAAGCATAACCGAAGAGAGTGTTTTCAATATAGATGTTCCATTTTGTTGTTGTGCTGATTGCTCATGAAGCTTTAGACTGGGCACTTTTGAAACAATATACTCACAAAGATTCATATGCTTTGGAGCTTGATCTGCAAAACCAAAATGACCAAAACATTAAATAATTGCACAAAATTCCTTTAGTTTGGTAATTTGTTTTAAAGACCCAATTTTGTCTTACAAAATACTTGCATTATAACAATCAATTTTACTAAATCTCAAGGACAACAAATTGGTCTTAAGAGACCCAAAAACTTACATCCCGACATACTCTCAATAGCTTTACCAATGACATGAATTGTCTTCTGTGTAGCATCTTTGGATAATTGAAAGAGATCATCAGCAAATACGATACACCTTGACCTTTTGGCATCCACTGAATTCGATTGAAGTAAAACATGTCCAACACGATGTAGGATAGTTGGATCGCGGGCAAACCAACCTGCAATGCAATTATGCAATGAAGTAATCAGCAATCTAAGAAAATATAGTGAAACATTTATACAAAAAATGTTAAAAATATGAGTCCCATTCACCTCACTATGCGTAATTTCTTATTAACTTAATCAATTTTTCAACTGGAATGGCAGATCAAGACCTGGAGCATACAGAAGATATTCAACCAAAGAAAGCACTACCAAACCATATATTGTGCTATAGAACTAGTCAATTTTTTAATACGTGT